TATTCATCACATTTTACACCGTCAAGAAACACATGAAAATCACTTTTCCATGAAGTTAACAGGCACTTACTCCTCTCAGCAGTTTTCTAATACCTTTTTCCGTATGCAACTTGGAGTGGGTTCTGTAGGAGCGACATCCTTTTGAGGTGCCCGCGGCCGGATGGATGACTCGTGTGACCGGAGTGCCAGAGGTCGTCACATCCCGGCCAATTAGCCTCCGATGACGTCATGCGAAGTGGGCCAGTGACGTCAGCTGTGAGAACAGGCGCAATGATCTCTAATATCGCTGCATGATGTGTACGAAGGTATAATGCGCTGCACTGCGCTTCATTACTGTTGTCTATCTGTTTGCGACAAACCATGGACAAGTCAAAAGAAACTAACCGATTGGATGACGTCGAACGACATTGAAAGACATTGCACAACATTGAACGAAACGACATTGAACGACATTGAACGACATTGAACGACATTGAACGACTTTCTTTGTAGGTACCTAATGTACGTACGAGTAGGTACGAGGCGAGAACATGAAAATATTATAATTCCTTCTTTCATTGAAATGTTTTACGTATATGTTCTCGTTTTGATACAGCAGGTTATTTTAATCATGAAGTTCTTACTATCCCGGTTGGACGATTTTGACGCAGTTAGGGTAGTCACGGCGCAGTTGAGACAATCCTGGGCCCAATCTTATAAACGCCGTGAAATGGATATGGCAGCACTCTAAGGCTGGATATATAGTACGCAATCTTATAAAACTCTGTGAAATCGAAAACACGGCACGCTCTTTACGGTATTGGTAGCCGCTGGTTTTGAGGATACCGTAAACTGATTTTAACCGTGAGCAGCTGTGCACATCTCAAAACACCGACAATCATCAGCTGTTTGCGGTTTCAGCGGCGTCCATTTCACGCCAGAATTTGTGGCGTACTTTGACGAGCTTCTCAGACAGTTTAATTGATTTAAGATAAATTCCATGTTTTTATGATATAAGTATGCAATATTTTACATTATGATATTTCTAAGATTAAAACATCCTCCACATATTAACTCACGATTTACTATAATGATGCTTGATTTATGATTATACAGACAACGATCAATTTCAAAATATGTATTTCCAGGAACTAAATGCACACTAAAACACATAAAAACGAGTGTTCATCGTTATATGGCTTTATTTTTCAAATAAAAAGGGGATTTTTAAGAGGATTTTAGCATTAGTAACCGTCTTAGATTTTCGGCAGCCACTGCATTATAGAATCGGTATGTTTCTTTAGCCTATTCTCACGTCTCACGTATGACACAAATAACGGGCACTTCATGGCTTCTGATTAGATATTTAAATTAATGATGATATACCTTAGTTTGTCAAAAAATTATAAATGCCTACTCACTATTCGTATTTCCTCACTTTCTGTTTGGCACAGTCACTGATCAGTGATCAATCTGTTGTTTCTCTTCCTGCATCTCGATCTGACTTCTGAACCAAGTATTTTTCTTGATATAGCTTTGATATGTAGACTGGGTACTTAAATATTTTGAGGAATTGCTTTTTAGCTTTAGGCTAGGTAATAGGTACCTATGCTTGAATAAGAAGGAAAATAAGCTGTAACTTGGCCTAATTCAGTTCATGTACGTAATCTTCGAATTTTAGTAGCTTTATCTTCATGAAGACAAGAAGGAAAATAAGCTATATCTTGAATTGATCCAGCTAATGTGCGTATCCTGATGCTCAAATTGTAGGAGCTTCATTGTCAACGGCATTACTTCAATTACTGAAGGAGTAGCCGAGCTATAATTAAATGATTATTTAAATAATTCTTTAACAAATGTATTGCAATGCCTTAACAGCAAATAAATGCAAATGATAAGTTGAAGAAACACTTTATTCACTCGATTTTCTGAGCGCGAGAATGCCCTCGCTGAAATTTATTTGGTCGGCAATCCACTTTTCAGGAGAATTATTCAAGCATGTTGTTGTTTTCCATACTTTGCTATCACGTTTTCCATAAATAATTTGTTTATTACACATATGTGTGTCTCTAAAAGAAATAAATGCCCAATAAAAATTAAAACACATAACTTTTGCTGTTCGCAAACAGTACGCATAATTTCCAATAGCGACGGCGACAAGACATTGACCAATCACGTTGCGTGTTTCCTGCTGGCGTTGATTTGTACTGTGGGCAAAATGGCGTGAATAGAATTACCATACTATTCTCTTTATAAGATTGCGTGAATAGGGTGCCGTAAATAGAGTGGGGTGGAATGATAGTACGCCATTTGGTAGCACAACCTTTATAAGATTGGGCCCTGGAGCAGTTTGCGTAATCCTCGCACGACTGGGGTCATCGTAGCGCAGTTTGACCGATCTTGGCGCAGTTAAAGCAGTCCTAGCGCAAGTTGCACTCCCATTCTGGCGCGGGCTCCGACCACGTGAGAACTGATGCCGGCGGCGGGCACCGACACAGAGCTTTCCTGTATAATTACAGGTGCTATTCACATTATGTTTATTCCTCTAAGTGTCTTACTCCAGTCCAGTCGTGCTGCGTGGCCCATGAAGGAAGTCGTTCAATGGTCTGGGTCGTGAGGCGCTTAACACTTACAACAGCGCCTCCATCGTTTGCATTCCAGTTAAAGTAATAAGCGGTTTTCTTCATCCTCATGTTGAGGTAGACAATTAGACTGAAAGGAAGCTGATAGGTACTCACTAGTCATTTCTGACATCGCAATGGGGGGAAACACAGAAGGACTCAACCTCTCAAGAGTGAGGACCGGGACGCTATGCATTGCATAGGTTACGGGATTGGCGGCAAACAAGGAAGCATAACGTCCAGTCGCTCTCTGTGCTGATTTGTTGAAATTCTCACTGAGGGACAAATTATTTATTCATTTTATTTCGTTATGTTTATTTTAACTTTAATCATGTATTATAAAATTCGCCTTTAATGAGCATATGTGTTTGGATGCATATTTAAAGGCTACCTTTATGGCAGTTGCATTTACCTATATCATTTACCTACTTAGAAACAACCATGCCAAGCGGATCATCTACAATTTCGCCCTGAAGTATCACACAGTCAACATGTTACTCAATGAAGTTTTCTGGACGGGGAAGGAAAAAAGTCTCGAAATTCTCGCAAAAGTCAAAAGTTGTCACACGAATTCCAGCGCTGTGCATTGTGTAATACCCATAGTTCAGCAACCTTTCCTCAGTATTCCGCTTCACCTTTTCAATCTCAGGATTCAGAGGTTAAGCCTGTGTTGAGTTTGTAATTATGTTATTTGTCCCAAGTTATATTTGTTTGCGTCGCGTCGTGTTATGTTACCGCGCTGTGTTATTGAGCGGCGACGCTGCCCCGCCCGGCCGCTCGCCGCGGCCCAGCCGGCCGGCGTGACACGGGGGGCGCATGCGCGCTGACCTGGCGCCGGTCACGTGATCGGTGGCGACCTCGGCCCGGCGGCGCCTGGACGGGGGCAGTAGGCGATCGGGAGGCGGGGCGGACGGTGGTCGGTATTCTGGATCGGTCACTTGTCCGCCTCTGTCTCTCGGTCCCTGCTCCCCCAGTCCTCCCGCCAGTCTGGAGTGGAGTGGCATATTGAGCCGCTTCCACCTTCCGCCGGAGTTAGGGCCGTCAATTTCCGGCCATTACCTACCCACTGACTATTACCTACCTGTGTGATTGTGCCACCTTTGCCAAATACAGCCACTGAACCGTATTTTATCTCTTTGGCCCTTAATTCATTTTTTTATGCGCCTGATTCTCAACTCTTAAACATCAATTTTAACATAGTCCTCCCCGGGCCGGATGCGCCTTTTTGGCTGAAATTTTCACTTACCCAGAGGCACCTTAATTTTGAATAATGGAGGATCAGGTGAAATTAAGGACCAAACTGAGGACCAAAGCCACCAAACTAGTCAATGACACAAAGGCATACCGAGCCAAGGACCACAAAGACATCGACATTGACTACCTTGCCTACAAAGTCCATCAACTAAATGCATTGCGAAACGACCTTAACCCATTAATGACCAAGCATATAAATACGGCGATATTTGATATTTCGAATGGTGTTCCGATGGTTTTCGACGTCCCTGATTCCAGCTGTGGCATTGGTTTTACCCTAAAAAATTTCGAACTTGGTGAAAAATTATGTTCCCATTTGGGAACATTGGGCACAAATGGGGGGTAAGAGGCGTATGTAGTATGCGGATAGAAACGAAGAAAGCAACAGTAGAAACACATATTAGACAACGTTTTAAAGAAGGGCTTTTTCTTCTTTTTGACCTTGTCACTATCCACAATGAGATCGTGGTCTCACTTCACTGATCGACCCTTGTCAACACACATTTTTGACACCCAAAGTCGTTTTATTCTACTCTTACGGTAGAGCGAGACATTTAGAACGATGAATCACAAGCCAGCGATACCAGTTTTCCATCCATCACCAAAGTGTCTCACCTGTCGAAGCGAGACATCATCTCGTGCCCGTTGCTCGGGATTAGTCAGCAGTGTCAGAGCATCAGGCATCAGTGTATACTACATATGCGTCTGCAGTGCCAGCACCGTGGCGGCAGCCTAGGTGTGGTAGTTCTGGCTGCAGTGGTTATGCAGTCGTACTTGGCAGATGCTACACATTGTACGCGTATTTTTTGACACAGCTTGCAGCGGCCTTGAGTGGCAGCCAGGACGATGAAGTGGTTTTGTGCAGTCCGGGAGACCACCGTCACCCGGCCGCTGCTGGGTCCTGGTCCGCTGCCGGTGACGTTTGGCGGACATGGCTCTAGTCTCAGTTTTTTTTTTAGGAGCTCCAGAGCGACCTCGCGAGTGAACACCAGCTGGTCCACACTTCTCCCGGTGCAGCTGCGGTACATGCGCCAGCTGGCTACTCTCAGTAGACCGAATGCGTTGGTGACAAGCGTGCCGTACCATTTCTTCCACCGGATCACAGGCCTGTAAGCCGCCACCGCTCCGTCCACTAGGTCTACGCCACCCATTAGACCTGTCCAAAAAAACCAACTTTTCGATGGACAAGCTCCCCTGGTGTTTTCCCATTGCTAGATGGCCCAATAGCTAGCACACCGAATTTCAGCCCTCTAGCTAAACCCTCGACCCTAGCGCAAGAGCGTCAAAGTTTTCCGGTGCGAAGTACACAGAGAAGGTCATTCTCCGGTGTGAGTCCTGCAGTTGTCGTGTCAGCAGCACTACGCATAAATGTAAAATAATGTGTGGTGAGATCCGTGTCATGGTCTGCGCCCCCCCCCCCCCCCCACCTATATCCCCGCGCCGCCCCTGTGCCGCCTTCGCCATATTACCGGAGGGGTTGGGTCACGTGACCACGCTGACCTGGGAGCCGCGACCGGTCGGCGCGGTCACTTGTCCCCCGGTCACCGACCGCACCGCAGCGCCACGTCCACCGACTCTACTGCACCGCTACCAGCTACGTAACTGAGGTTAGTGTGTTTGTTTAATGTTGCCTCGTCAGCATAAAATATGCACCAAAAACGATAAAAGCACTAATTTGTTTTGTCGCATGAATAGTGGACATTTTCAGTCGTTTCATTTCCACATCTCACTTTTAAATGTGGGCTGCTTTCTGTTTTGTGCTATGCTGGGTTCCCATGAAAATATTCACACAAAACAGCTGCAATAACCCAGCAGCTAATATAGATAATTTAATTGATGGTCGCTTTCAAATTAAATCGTGCTCATTTTTGATAGATACATTTCGGATTCATTTGTATACCGGTAATAGAAATGGACCCATCTTATTTCTCTCGCTTTCAGACTGTTCCTGGCCACTCGTTCGTGCCATGCCGACCACTCGAGGCGGCAGAGGAAGACGATTTGAAGCAACAAGCGACAAAGGTGCTGACAGTGCTGGCCTGCATCCGTGGGAAGAAGCAGTTGCGTGCGGACTACGAAGAGTCTGCGTCCCTTGCAGTTATAGCTCTGGGCGGTGACTCGACAGAGGCAAACGGCGCTGCATCTGTGCGCTTCAAGAAACCGGGTGCCTGCCACAAGGCGCGCTGGATGGCCCACGTCATCTACGGGCTACGGCATCAAGATGTTCTTGTTCCGACATCAGCAACTGGAGCTGGGCATCATCTCCAAGGACATGCACGACAAGCTGCGGCGGTTCGCTGTGTTTGTCTGCCTCTTTTACGTCAAAGAGTGGCTCACCTGCACAACAGCTGCGGATGCCGCTGTCAGCAACCTCGGCAGGTACCAGGACCTCAACGTTCTCCGCAGGGTGGACCCTAAGGTAGCGGAGGCGGCAATGGAGGTGTACGGTCGCCACACCTGGTACCTCACGCAGGAGCTGGTTACCTTGGCGCTGGTCAGCTCCCTGGTGGATCCTCCAACGAAACGGCGGATGGCAGACGTCATACACGAGTATGCGACGGAGCAGGCAACCGCAACCAGAATGGGCAAGCCCGATCTCCCGACTCTGCCCACCGAGGCCGGCCAAGTGAAGGCACTGGAACTGGATGACTTCATCGGACCAGAATCCCGCACAGTGTTCGGAGTCCTCGGCATCAGCGCGGGATTTCTGCGAAAGCCGCTGCCGTGGGACGGTGATCCGGACTTTGATCGCCTGGCGACATTCGTCCTGCACCTGCGGGTCACAAACGGCACTGCGGAGCGCGGAGTAAAGCTCATTAGTGACTTCATCGGCCACATCACGACCTCCGACTTCGAGCTGCAGGAGCTGCTACAGGTTGTGGAGGCGCACCGTCAGCGGTACCCAGACTACAGCAAAGCCACCTTGTCAGCCGCCGTCTGAGGCCATGAGACTGTGATTCTGTGACTGATCAGTGCTGTGCGTCTTTCATTGGCTGTGATGTGACAGAAAAGATGTGATTTAGGTTGTTTATCGTCTGTTGAGAAATGCATTTGTTTTATCGTTTCATCAACATATGTCTTTCGTACCAAATACGAGCAGCAGTGGAAACCAGACGCTGTGTTTTGGTTACCTTATATCTAAAGTAGGATAAAGCTGCCTACCTCGGAAAAGTGACATAATGATTTGCCAGTTGTTACTTGTTTCGTGTTTGTCGTTTTGTTTTGTGTCATTACCATTCCTAGGTAATGTATTATTCAATACAAATCAGACGGGTTAGACCACCTGTGCCGAGTTTACGAGCGAAGATGTGTCGATGTGTCAGACAATGACACGGATCTCACCACACATTATTTTACATTTGTGTAGTGCTGCTGACACAACTGCAGGACTCGCACCGGAGAATGGCCTTCTCTGTGTACTTAGCACCGGAAAACTTTGACGCTCTTGCGCTAGGGTCGAGGGTTTAGCTAGAGGGCTGAAATTCGGTGTGCTAGCTATTGGGCCATCTAGCAATGGGAAAACACCAGGGGAGCTTGTCCATCGAAAAGTTGGTTTTTTTTGGACAGGTCTAGCCACCCATGTACTGGTTATATTCGTATATGAGGTTCGGCTGCTTGACCGTCACCTTCTTCTTTTCGTCACCCGACCAGCGCTGCACGTCTTTGAGTGGGCTGATGCCCGAGTGATTTGTGACCACTGTCACTGCCCTGTTGTCTCTCTACTTCACGGCCAGCAACCCGTTAGTGGATTGGTACCAATGCTGTCCCCTGGGCGCCTTTTCAGCAGTTTTGTTGTCAGGCAGGGGACACTTCTTCAGCCTGTTGTCGCGCACAGTGCCCGTTGCTCGGATGCCTCTTTGACGGAGAGCTATCATCAAGGCATACGACGAGAAGTAGTTGTCAAAGAACACATGGTGCAAGGCAGGCGTCTGAAGACATCCCAGGAGCCGAAGGACGACATCTCCGCCCAGCCCAAGAGACTCGCACCCTGCTCTGCCCTCACGTGGCCCAGCGTTCTTGACTCGTCGATACCAATGACCCTACTCCATTCGCTGACATTGGCGCCGACGGATATGACACTGGACCAGACAACGCTCTATCATCCGAGCATCAGTAACGTGAGCGATACTGTCACTTGACACACCGGGTGTAGGACCTAGCGTGAGAGCAGAACCAGCCGGAGAGGACGTGCAAATTGAGTCAGTGGAAATTGAGAACAAGTGAGAGTGAGAGAAAGAGAGGGAGGGAGGAAATGGGAGATGGAGAGAGAGAGAGAGAGAGAGAGAGAGAGAGAGAGAGAGAGAGAGAGAGAGAGAGAGAGAGAGAGAGAGAGAGAGAGAGAGAGAGAGAGAGAGAGAGAGAGAGATGAGAGAGCGCGAGGAGAGAGAAAAAGAGCTTCGCTTTTGCCTTCCAATGTCAGTCCATTATGAGCTGCTATACCAGTGGAAGTGCCCAATGTTCCCATTTGGGAACATCCAAATTTTGGAAGCCCCCGACGCTTTTGTGGTGAAGCATTTCTTTTGATATTTCTGCCGTACAACTGGAACTTATTGTTGAAGCATTACTGGAAATTATAAGGAAATCTATCAAGAAATCGATTTTAAGGAAATTATTTTCTTGATGAAGGTACAGTGTGGCAAAAAAGGGCTATTTCAAAAATCAAGAGAGGTGCTTTATAAGGGTGAAATTCAAGTTTTTTTAGGCTGCTAAATTTTGTTCAGGGCTTCAGATGCCAGGATCAATATTCATAATCGCTCTGCAATCCCATATCAGAGCCTAGAGCCAAAATTGTCGATGTTCCCAAATGGGAACATTGGGCACTAATGGGTTAAAGCAGTCCAGACCCTTCTCGACAAAGACGGCAACCCAGACGAGACTCAACATACCGACATGATAGAGGAGGAGGTCTTCATGGCGTCTCGACTCCTGGCTCGACTCGAAGGAGGAGCGGCTGGAGCCATTTGAGACAGCACACGTGAAGTCGACCCGACTTCAAATACTGACCTTCGATCCTCGCTCGTCGTGAAGATACCCACATTCAGCGGAGACCTTATGAAGTGGCGCTCATTCTGGGAGCTGTTCGGCGTATCCATCCACAACAACAGCCGGTACAGCAACATCGAGAAGTTTGTGGTCCTGAAGTCGCACCTCAGTGGCTCAGCCCAGAAGGCCATCGACGGGATCCCTGTGTCTGGAGACGGATATCTCGCCGCCATCGACATCCTGAAGAGGAGATTCCAGAGAGACGACATCGAGAGGGAGACTCTGATGAAATGTCTCCTGGATGCACCCGCCGTCCACAACGGGAACGACCTCAGTGCAATGCGGAGCCTCGTGGACCACCTGTCTGCCCATACGCGTGCTCTGGCCACCCTCGGAGTGAACCCCGAGAGCTCTTCAATTGTTCTTCTCCCAGTCATGAAGGAAAAGCTTCCTGAGAGCTGGCGACTAGAGTGGGCTCGACAGGAACAGCCCACTTACGAGCACCTGCTGCTGTTCCTGGAAAAGGAGCTGGCACTTAGAGAAGCCGTCCGAACCACCAGTCCATCACCAAGTTCACCACCTCAGCCATCGATCCCACCACCGGCTCTTACCGCGTCGTCAGGATACCGACCTGACCACGTGGGGAGTGCCATCACGCAGCAATCATCACTTACCATCACAACAGGATGCCGACCTGATGATGTGCCGACCCACCACACATTCCTCAGTCGCAGAAGTGACGACCTGTGTAAGCCTGACCTGACGGGAACCTCTGACCAGAAAGATGTGAACCGAGAAGGTCTCTCAGTGACCGAGCCCTCCCGGGACATCACTGCACCACGGTGCAAGACGAGTCTTGTGCAGGAGTTGGACTGCCAACCAGTGACCAGCTCTTCCAACCGGACCACTTACCGGATGATGATGCCAAAGCTAGACGTCGATAACTGCCAACCACCCAAAACCGAGACGCAAAGCGATGCTGTCATCGAAGAAACAGCGACCAAAACACCGAAACCGACATCGAAGGTGGAGGATGCCGCCCTCCAACCTACCTCTGATCATGGTGGAAACCGCTTCATTGGCACACCGTCCATTGGAGACTCCACCAACCAGATCGATACTGATGCCTTCTTGCCTCCTCACCACGGAACAAGGAAGAAGAGAAAGCTACGCGACGTACTTGAAGGATCTGTGGAAGACGTCACCGGACAGAGTTCTCACGACCACCTACCTGATACCAGACGAAACTCTCCCGTGAATACTGGTGGCTGTGACCCTCAGTTCACGAGCTGGGAAACGGCACATCAGACGGACGCCAAGGAGAGCCGCCATCAGATAACGGAAAGGAAGTCACAAGGATCCACCAGCAGACTGCACCGCCACAACATTGAGCCTGACTAGACCGACGTATCGTCTCAATACTGGTCATATGGAGACTAGTGACACGACTCATCTTTGCCGACATTTCTTTGAACACTCACCATTCACCCGGTCATTACCACCAGCATGTGCATCACGAGCACAAACTTCTTCGTGACCTTACCTGCCTTTGTTTTTTGCCCCACACTTACCAATGTGTGATCCGTTTGTGTGCGTTTGTGTATCCGCGTGTGAGTGTTTGCATGTTAAGTGCGCTCATGAAAACTTCTTTGCAGTCAGAAGATCGACCTGCTGACCGTGTCCACCGAGATGGAGGAGGTCCAGTTCGGTTTCCACCACTTTGATGGCGAGCGACGGGCGCCAATGAAATCCCGCAGTGCCGGCCTGCCCGACTCCGCCGATGTTCAGCTCCGACGGCCCGTGGTCTACCTTCGGGTGAGTGACTCAGTGGCTGGAGACTCCCGCATAAGCTCGGCGCCGGTGGGGAGCGGGTTCGGCATTTTGAGCCGTCCTCGCCTTCCACTGCGGCTTCGACTGCGATCGGGCAACCGCCATCTTCGAGTCGAAGACTTCACATCGACGCCCAACTCAACCTACCATACATCGGCGATGTTGGCGAAGCGGCAACGGATCTCAACGATGCCGGCCCAGCAGACGCCACAGGCGTTCACTGTGTCGACGAGCACTGTGCCTCGCTGTGCCTGCAGCACGTCTCCTGCTGGCCGACTGAATGAGCCAGTGCACTGGTTCATGCACTGCACTGCAGTGCAGTGACTCAAAGAGACAAAGTGATCGGTGAGGATTTCGGAGTGTTTCGAAAACAGATGCGATCTGTTTCCGAGTGGGGAGTATGTTGAGTTTGTAATTATGTTATTTGTCCCAAGTTATATTTGTTTGCGTCGCGTCGTGTTATGTTACCGCGCTGTGTTATTGAGCGGCGACGCTGCCCCGCCCGGCCGCTCGCCGCGGCCCAGCCGGCCGGCGTGACACGGGGGGCGCATGCGCGCTGACCTGGCGCCGGTCACGTGATCGGTGGCGACCTCGGCCCGGCGGCGCCTGGACGGGGGCAGTAGGCGATCGGGAGGCGGGGCGGACGGTGGTCGGTATTCTGGATCGGTCACTTGTCCGCCTCTGTCTCTCGGTCCCTGCTCCCCCAGTCCTCCCGCCAGTCTGGAGTGGAGTGGCATATTGAGCCGCTTCCACCTTCCGCCGGAGTTAGGGCCGTCAATTTCCGGCCATTACCTACCCACTGACTATTACCTACCTGTGTGATTGTGCCACCTTTGCCAAATACAGCCACTGAACCGTATTTTATCTCTTTGGCCCTTAATTCATTTTTTTATGCGCCTGATTCTCAACTCTTAAACATCAATTCTAACAGCCTGGGAGTCGCTCTGAGATCTGGGGATGTAAAGTACAGTGCAGCTTTGACCACTCTTATCATTGTTCTAGCATGCGAAATACTTCTGTGTGCAGTGTGCGTTCCATCTGACTGTTCCAGATGTTTTTGTTTTTATCTTTAAGGAAGCTTCTCTCGTAGAATCAGATTATGGTGGTCGTTGGCCTCATGTTGGGCTAAGAAAACGTAATCCCCTCTAATCTTCTCTCCTCTCCTTTCCACTCCTGTCCTCTCATCTACCTCATCTCTCTCCTCTCATCTTCTAACCTCTCCTTTCATCTCTCTCTCTCTCTCTCTCTCTCTCTCTCTCTCTCTCTCTCTCTCTCTCTCTCTCTCTCTCTCTCTCTCTCTCTCTCTCTCTCTCTCTCTCTCTCTCTCTCTCTCTCTCTCTCTCTCTCTCTCTCTCTTTCTCTCTCTCCCCTCTCCTCTTGCTTCCTCTCCTCTCTCTTTCTTCCCTATTCACTCATCTCCTCTCCTCTTCTTTCCTCTCCTCTCCTCTCCTCTCCTCTCCTCTCCTCTCCT